TGCTGAGTGGGGGCGGAGGACGGGTGTCTGATGGTGTCTGGAAGAAGTCAGCGATACAAGGATATAGTGGGATAGACTTTGCAGCAATGATGGAATCCACGAGGTCATTCTTGTCGATAGGGCCTTTGACGGGGATATTGTATGCGTCGACATAGCGGCGGAGCTTAGAGAGCGGCAGAGACTTGATGCATGACTGTACCTCTCCGCTGTGACAGTCCAATTATACGCCTCAAGAATACGGGCTGGAAAGCCTTGAGTAAGTGCTTTGATGCTAGTCTGAAGTTCTCCACTGCGAGTGATAAATCAACAGGTTTATGCTGCACCGGTAACGAGACATATATGCCTCGCGTATCCTGAAGTGGGAGTAGTTCCTGTCGGGGTGGAGTGGTGGAAAAAACCGCCAGTGCTTCCTGGCAGAACCCAATGGCCTCCTCAACATCTTCGATCTTCCAAGTGTTCGCGAAACGAGAGCAGAGCGCCGAGCTCAAATTAAAAGCTTTGTATGGCGCTCTGGATGATCTTGCGGCCCTACCCGAAGTGATTCACGGTACCGCTTGATGGCCTCGTTAATATCCTCATTGGCATGTAATTTGAGCAAGAATGGTCCTGTTCATTGAAGTTTGATTGCGAGCCGGCTGGTGTGCGAGAGCTGTACCATTTGTTGGTTGGTTGACTTGAGCGCGGCTGACAGCGAGAAGCAGAGACTGCCGCGAGCTCCAGTACTAGTGGTATTCAATCATATTAATGGCCATAGGTGGTAGTAGTAAGAGTAAGCTTCGGATCCTAACAAGGTCAAATATCGATGAGATCTTGTATCCTAGGAGAACTGTTTCACTGCTCTCGACATCTCACAATTTCAAGTATTCTTACCATCCCATCGTTGGATGCGCTTACTACCCACTTACCGTTTGCACTCCAAGACTATTTATACGAAAGTTGCTTTGGCCTTTTGAGAGGAATCGCAAGAGTTTTTCCGTGAATCCGTAAGTGAATGGCCAGCTTCAGGCTCACGAGACACAGCGTTCAGTCCGACTCACACAGATACTCTCCGATCACAGATGCGAACGATCAACTGCCAGGTGAGACAGTGGGAGTCATGGAAGTCAATTTTAGGCCGCGTCCCATGCGTTCTCTTCGCAGGTTAAGTGATATGTGGATGGAGCTCTCAGGTTCTGCGACTGGCACTAGATGTATCTTTCTATATATCAGGAACTATATTGATGTTGATAAACATTCAACAGAGCGCCTTCCTCTCCGCCTTGCATGAGCCTGTCTGTTTTCCGACTCGATACTCCCCAGCATGTTTGCGGATTGTGCAGCATGCTGTTACCGCATGCTATGACGAGTCCTGCCCTGCTCATATTCTAGTATTTTTCTGATGCAGACTCCTCCCCCTCGTCACCCTCGATACCAGCACCCGCGTGCTTGTTGCCATGAACATGTTATTTACGAGGAGGTTATGGACTCGTGATCCCGCACCACTCGACAGTGCCATATGTTATCGCGGACGTTCTCTGGAAGATTTTATCAGACAATTCGTTCAGCTTGGGCGTATCGTTCTGGACAATAGGATCCTCCATCCTCTTCACGAACTGCCCCGACCGATGTGAGACGTTCGAAATTTTCAAGCGGTCTTCCTCATTTCAGGCCACGAAATCCATGGTCGATGATGCAAAGATTTCCCCTGCGCACGCGCCGCCTTTCTCTGATGCAGCATTCTGTGGCGCTCATCTTTTGAAGGAGGTCTAGGCCTCATCGACGGATCATCGACGGATAACTTACCGACATGAAGGAGTCACTCGGGCATCAAGCGACACTTCCCAATGATGAAGTAGACTTGATCTGTGAATTATGTTGCAAGGTAAGCGTTGTATCAGAACACTGACCGTTTGCTGACTCTTTCCAGCGAAACGAGGTCGACGAGACCAGCGGATAACGCTGTCCTAATGGCCCCGATTTATTTCAACAAGGTGGCCTGTGGATAGGCTGGAGCGCTTTTTCGATAGCTGGTTCCAGCGGCGTCTCCGTATCATTTGCTGTGGGGGAAGCTAAGCTGTTGACACCAGACAAGTGGAAGAATGGGTTGCGATTCACAACGGCCTCGCGGACGACGCAAGCACTCGATTTCGTTGGTGAGGTGCTTTGGTTGTCGACTTGTTGATTATCGCACGTACCCCAGGTCTTTGCACCCATCTTTCTGTCATTACACGCAACTCGTGGCATCAAGCATAGACCAACTGTGGTGAAGAAGGAGCTAACCCTATGTCTTGGACGCACTATTGACTTTAATCTCCTTTGTTTGTCTCGTGCAGATGACCAAGACCTCGGGAGGCTTAACGCGGCGTCGACGAAGCATAGGTGGGGTTTCGCATGGGAGTGACACAAGAAGGGCAAGCTTCACACAGCGGGAACGATGCATGATGCACGAATAATGGTACTACGATGTGATACATCCTCGCTGTACTTGTGCATGTACTTTATTGAGAATGAAGTTTAACGGTGTTTTCAGCGACATTGCGTGATATTTGGAGAGGATCCAAAGGTATGTTTTGTCGCAGTGTCGCATCAATATGTACCGCAGTCATTTTTATCTGCCCTTCCTTTGTGCGTGTATGATGACTCCACGTCTCTTCTTATTCTCATTTCCTCGCTCAGCGCTTCAACAATGAGACTGATTCACTACACTTCTTCAGTACTCCCCTCGGCTCATTGGCCACTCGATATATGACCCCGTTATTTGTGCGTTGATCGTCAGGCTCTATCTAACACTACAAGTCATCAGCGAAAACAACTCAAATAGCTGCATTTTTCCAAGACAGACTTGAATTGAATGGTTGGAAGGTCAACTCGTATTGCAGGAAGCACTTGAGCAAAAGAATGTGCACCGCTGCAATAGTACAAATATTACTGTACATGCCAAGCATTGTCTTCGAGAACAAATCTGATCAATTTGCTAAACAGCAGATGACTACTATACAAGAGAGAATTCCTACAACGTTAACAAATGCACCGGGATAGAAGGGAATCGAAAATCAACAACATGTAAATCTGTACGAGACAAAAGCAATGGGACATAGAACTACACACCAATGTGAATGAAAACAATCCTCTGCTCGAGCGGCACCAACTTCTTCACACCACAGCGTAGCATAGTTGAGTGCTTTGGCTGCCTTCGTAGCAGTCCAAGACACCATCCTTCAAATCCCTTGAACATATTCTCGTAGAATGCTTCAACAACGTGCTTTGGCGACTTCGTCATCGACCACCCACAGCGTGCCAATCACACTCTTGAACCCTGAAAACTGTAGGCCAGCTGCGAGGTGGATGACCTCGTCGGGAGTCTTTTCGTCGCCGACTGGCGGTATGACACGCCGATAAGAATGCGAATTCAGCTTGCGGAGTGTCATTCTCCATGATGTCGAGGAGGGTGAGAGGCTTAGTCTCTCATGGCGAAGCCCGAGTTGTAAGGCTGTTCGCGGTCCTGCTTTCCGTGACAAGCAAGATGCACCCAGGTGTTGCGTCGCAAAGCATCGAGTGCACCGGCCTGTGTAGCTTCGTCACCCGAAAGAGTACTGAAATTAACATTGGGGGGAACAAGTTTATGGACGAGCTCAAGCTCGCTGTCGACAGTGGCGAGCGCCGTGCCTTGCCCTGCTCCCGGCTGACTTTGCCCAATCGCCACAAAGGATGGACTCGTCGCACGCGTCTTCATCGCCTGTCGAGATCTGATGAGAGCGGAAAGTGTGGGCGTGTAGGAGCAAATGAAAATATCCTCGAGGGATAATTCCCGCCCACTTCCATCTGCTTTCGTTCGAGAGGGATGAGCTGCATGGAGAGGAATGGATGTGAAGGCTGCAGTAGGACACAGCCATATTCGAGAGCGACGCTTTACTTTGAGATCATGCCTGAGCAGTACGTCGACAATAGGTAGCATGATCTCATCCCATAACTTCCGCAAGAGTACTATCAACTCCGTCCGCGACTCTGTTGGGCCCATCAGCGATGCATGCCGTATTGCCATCGTGAAGTCGTCTTTGAGCTTCGCAAGATCAGCGAGAGTGAGAGACGGGAAAGGAACATGATGGGGCACCCCTGACGTCGGGACAATGAGCGCATTGCACGAATATTTGCTGGCAATGAGAATTATGACTGGGCCGTCGCACGCTGCCACTTGCAAGTCTTCGTATGACAGCGGGAGGAGGAACCGCGAGAAACCTCGAATGTTGCGGATTTTGCCCACTGCAGCTTCCCACTGCTCTGTACACCTCCTGTACTTCATTGCTGCCTGATCAGCAGCAGCTCTGTCGGTGATTGCTGCAGAACCCTGAGCAGCATCGGAAACACGCTTGCTCAGCTCTGAAAACTCGTGAGCCAGTTTTGGGTTTGCTGATTGGAGTTCTTCGACTGGAGTCCTGAGCCGAGACGCCAGTGACCACTGCTGGCCACGGCCCTGCTCCACGAGTTCAACAGCCTTTTCTAGGTTATGACGGCGTAAGGCACATGATGATGCATCCACAGGGAGTGTTCTGGCATAATGGAAGGTAGTAGTAGCTTCCCGCCGTGAAATAGTTGATGAGCGTGTTGACAAATGATCATCAAGAAGGTCGAGAAATATTGCGTAGGCCTCCAGTGCAGATCCATGGTCATACTGCTCCACTGCCAAAGTCCACTTGAATGCTGTAATGATGCGTTCTGGGAATCCTTGAGTGGGGTGCGTTGAAGCCAATCTGAGGTTTTCAACAGCAAGTGACAAATCAGCCAAATTGCATTGCACCTGGTAACGACACAGATAGGCCTCCTGCAGCCGCCCGTAGCTGTAGAATCTATCTGGATGCAGCAATGGCAAAGCCACCAATGATTCTTGGCACAGCTCAATGGCCTCCTCAACATCTTCAATCTTCTGAGTTCTCGTGAAACGAGAGCAGAGTGCCGAGCTGAAGTTGCAAAGAATTCTATGGCGCTCTGGATGGTCATGCCGCATTAACCGAATTGATTCACGGTACAGCTCGATGGCCTCGTCAACATCCTCGTTGGCATGTGATTTACCATATCTGGTTTGGAGCGCGACGGCAAGGTTGCAAAGTGTGATGTTACGTTGTTGATGCTCAGGTGGGCGCAATGTCAATGCCTCGCGAAGGAGGCTGATAGCTCTGTTGATGTCTTCTACCTCACCGCGTTGGACGAAACGGTCGAGGAAGGCGCCCCCTAGGTTGTCCAATAATCCATCACGAGATTCGTGCCCAACAGGGCTCAGGCGCAGTGCGTCCTCATGCAGAGAGATGGCCTCGTTGAGGTCATCAGATTTGCCCTGGTGACGGAAGCGGTAGTGGCGGAGTGAGAAAGCCAAGTTATTCAAGTAGTCACGACGATCAGGATGTCCCTCGGGACACAGAGAAACAGCTTCGCGACCAAGTTGTATGCTCTCGTCTATATCAACAATGCTCCCACGTTGCCCAAATCGTATACAGAGTGCCCATAAAAGCATGCTGAGTGCCCTCGGACGGTGTTGATGGCCCTGAGGACAGAGCTCGAGTATGATTCGTCGAAGGCGGATGCCTTCATCGGATGCGTCTACCGGAAGATTGTTGTATCTGCTAATTACATAATCCACGCCATTAACCCCTTCCGCGATGCTCCGAAGATAGGTGCCCTCTGGGCAGAGAGGTAGTAGCTCAAGGGAGATTTGAGCAGATTCGCGGATGTCGACAGCGGCAAGCTCCTTGCTGTGGCGCCAGATCAATGCTTTAAGGAGATGGTACAGAGATGATGGATGATCAGGGTGGCCCTGCGGACACAATGCAAGAGCGTCACGGAATAGACAGGTAGTAGAGTCGATGTCTTGAAGATCGTTGTGAATGTACCCTTGAAGGCGTGCGCACGCGAAGTTGGTCAGTGCAGCTGCGTGGTCAGGGTGGCCGACCGGACACCGCTCTAGAACCAACTCAAAATGTGCCACGGCATCGTTCAGGTCAGAGACCCTCTTGCTTGTCACGTATTCACCAAATCTTGTGTGACCCGTATCCGTGTCTCGAGCGATCTCGCAGTCGACGATGGGCTACAGTTTGCGATCTGTCAGCAGGAGTCGACAGTGCAAAGGCTGGCGTCACTTACGTTCAACAGTTCACCATTGTTGTTTCCGCAACCATTCACAGCAGCAGCCTTCAACGTGACAGATGGGTGGACACCGCGAACAAGTGGGAAGGACAGTTCTACGACACATGAGTAGATGTGCATGAATGAGAAGCAGGTCACTCACCGAAAGGCTCATTTCCGTGACGGAGCAACTTATCCCACGATATTTTAAGTTTCCCGATGACTTCGCCATTGCCTAGCATTCGACCTAGCTCAAAGGATGCTCTGATCTCGACCGATAATTTAGATGATGCATATGGTGATCTATAAACCGAGGATCAGTTCTCGAATCGCGTCGGCAAGTCTACGTGGATTGCCTTACAGGGTCACGGTATCGCCCCACGCTACAGAACTATTGGATGATGGGACTTGAATAGCTGATTTCCAGCGTCTCCTCTTCGCGAGTGTGATGGACACGTAGATTCCTGCGGGTATGCGCTCGGAAAGGACTTGAAGGTTTTTTCCACTGATGACTGTAGATGAAGCGGAAAAGTCAGAAGATGGATACAGAGTTGATATAAAGTAAGCCACCTTCGAGTCTGATATGTTGGTCATGCGAGCTACCGGGTACAATGCCGCGACGACGCAAATGACGAGCAACACGTTGGAGCATTGAAGATTGAGTGGTGGGCAGAATGAGCGATGGGACAAGATGGAGGGTAGGGATATGGGGACTGTTGATATTGGATGAGAGGGTGAGAGGGTGCAGGGCATGTCGCACGTGTGTATTGATGTGTTCGGCACGATAGACGCTGGTGTTGATTCCATTAAGCGCCGATATGAAGAGATGAGACTTAAGGCAGCGGGAGAATCTGTGGTAAAGAAGTGGGCGATGACATGGTCGGTAATCAGCGAAAGTGGCTAACCATGGCCCAGGCTGCTGGTGATCAGTCGGCTGGAGCAGACATGTGCTGACCTGGCCTTATAACTCTCGCATCACTCATACGCGTCATTTAGTACGCTGCAATGGAATAGATTGTATTTCGTAGTGTGTACAACATTAGCAAAGTGGTGAAGTCCGCAGCCGCAAAAAAGCAGATTAAAGTCAATACGAGTTGGACTGAGTTGATGAGATGGAAGAGGATGATCCTCCTGTTCATTGTGAGCCAGCGTCGTCCTGAGTCCCCATATAGAAAAATCCACGCCTTATATTATTCTGCTCAGCGTATCGACAAGGCAACTAGTTCACACTTCCTCAGCACCTTCCACTTGGCTCATTGTCGATCCGCGTCACTTGTCATTATGCAGATCATTCACACTCAGAGAACCTAAGGTTGTTTTATTATCATCGTTGTGAAGGAGATGGCAAGTTGTGTATGATCTGCTCCCGATCGATCGAATATCCTAATCAAGCCAACACTTCCAGCCCCGGAGATAAGCTTGTTTTTAACCGTGATGTCCATGCCGAGCTCAAGCTCAAGACTGGCCATGGAGAGCCCTCTCGATGAATCCTCATGTCGCAATTCTTGAGAACTACCGCTGTTATGACCTTCCCCGTTTCGACGTCCCACAACCTCACTTTCCCGTCATCCCTTCCACCTGCAACGCTCTCACCGTTCGGAGACCATGCTATGTTGATACACGAAAAACACGTCTTTCACAACCGAACGCAAGAGAGAAGTGTAAGTAGAGACCATGTGGGCGTAAAACCAAGCACCGTTCAACTTGCAGCGTGTTAAAACGATACAGGGATTAGGCGGGAAGAGGATAGAATAGATCATTCGAAAAGGATGCCGAGATCAAATAATGTGGCTTACTTATGTAAAATGGACGAGGCAACAGACCTGACGACTTAACGGGCAGCAGGGGAACAGAATGCGGGTAACGAAGAATGCCTCGGGTCAAATATGGAAAGACAGTATGTGAGTTATGTCGCACTTGAACAACCAGTAACATCCAGTGCTGGGGGCGAGCGAGAGAAAGGTAAATACGATGATGCTGAGCCGACTGACCCCTAGAACAAATCCTCTTGTGCGAAATCATTCCTCGCAAACGAGATGTTTCTTTGCAATGGAAGTGCCAGTGCGTAGTGGTTGCCGCCGAGAAGAAAAAAAGACTGATCTCTATCATTTTCTTTTTGTGCCGCATCGAGAAATATTCCTAGCGAGTCACGATGAAATCGAGGAATAACCACGGAATTTTGGTGACCCCTTTTGCAATGGAAGTGCCAGTAGCAAGTATACTGAGTCACTGCTGAGACATCGCTGATCTCTATAAGATTATTCTCGCCTCAGAAGTGAAAATGAAGAATGTATGCAAATGGACACCTGGGTGACATAACAATAGAGCCTAATAAACCTTAACGACGGATTCGGACGCTGTGGGTTATTACCCACGGCACCAGTAAACCTCTACACCACCAATACCACCACCTATACCTCTGCTCTTATGCACCCTGTAGGTATAGATATGTAAGATTACGGTAGATATAGGTTAGATAACTGTTAGATAACGTAGATAAAGGCGTCATCTCCGTAAAACATACAGACATAGTTTCGGCTGCCATCCGGAAGCTTCCGAAGCTCTCGGAAGACGTTATGAAGGTGTTGTGGCCTAATTAGGAAAGCGCAGGCTTCGTACCTGGATTACCAACCATCCAAACCTTCGTCGTCGCTGTCTGCAACAGCGAGCTCAAGCACGAGGATTGGTTCAAAGTGTGCAATGGAAAGAACATTATAGATGTATTGGCTGTATGTTAGATGACCCAAAAATGTTATATACACTTGAGTTAGGTACATTAGTAAAGAGTTGAACATGTCAGAACAAGCAAGCCGTTACAACAATCCCATCAAATGTGCAATGTTGGCATTATATTCCTCATTGGGTAGGCCACTGTCTTCTACTGGCAAAGGGGAATAGCGAAAATGATCATCCAAACCTAAACCGTTAAAGCTGCCCATGGACGTTTCAGATACATTTGCAGCTTGAGAGGGAGTGAGGAAGGGGCTTGCACTGATGGGTGTCATGGGGAGTTGGGTTGAGAAGGGGCTTGTGCTAAAGTGAGTTGCAGGAAACATGGGATCTGAACAGCTGGCGGCCGTCACAATGTCGTGGTTGACTGTATTGCCTTCCGAATCCATAGCTGCTGCAGTCGGGGCTGTGCTTGCCCTAGTTTCAATGTTGTCGCTGCTGTTGTTTTCATTGGCATCGTTGTCGTCATCAGTGTCTGTGAGGGTATCGTGGCTTTTGATGGTGTTTATGGAGATCCTGGCCTTCTTTTTTGTGCCTTTATTGGAATGGGTGGCACGAGACTTGATCTCGCCATTAACAAGGTGTTTTTTGAATTCCTCGGCCTTCGACTTCAATTCTGAGGAAGAAAGTGTGCGCCAATGACAATCCCCATCCTTGAGTGCAGAATGGAGATGAGATAATGCGACTGAGGAAGTTATGTTTCCGGGGTTTGTGACTTGAGCTTCGGTCCAGCCTGTCAGCTCAATACCCCACTTAACAACAAATGCATCATAGCCGTTGTATGCAACGGCTGGAAGGTCATCCAGAAGGACCGCCATCTCTGTAAGAATTTTGTCTAAGAAAAACTAATCAGTTTTATGCGCGAGCGTGACAGTGAATTTACTTACACATCCCATCACGCACCATCTCTCGAATTTCGGCTTTGAGTTCTGTCGTTTTCTGACTGGTCGTCATGCGGATAACACCAGATGCGCCTGACACCAGATGCGCCTGACACCACATAGGCATCTGTCTGTAAGGCCAGCTTTTCAACTGTAGTCTTGAGGAGATGCAGACACGCCGTCTGCAAATTTCCAGAGGCATAGCTCCAAGGAGCGAATGTGTCGCTAACCTTTCCACGTGTGACTATCCACATCACATTGCAACCAGTCCGCCTCTCAAGGCCAAGCAACTGCAGGAAGAACGGTTAATATTTTTTTAAACGGACTAAGGTGAATACCTACTTCTGGTTGAATGTGGGAAATAGTCCCCTTGATATCAGCTGCAACACTTTGTGCTGTCACCTTAACTGGTGCCGAAGTATCATCATCTTCTAAACTTTCCATAAGATCGTCAATCTCATGTTGTGGGAGCTCCTTCCATCCGCCTGATTCTTTTGCCTCTCTCAACACAATAGCTAATGTCTCCCGTCCCATCCAAGTACCTGCAACAGACCGTTTAAACAAGTGATAGTATGACTTTGACAGTACCGTACCATTCTCTTTGCACTTCTGCATCTCGCTCTTCACGAATGCGTTGAATAAGGTTTTTTTTCGACCAGACTTCAATAGCTTGCCACCGAGGAAAAGCTGCTGAGACATCCAGTCAACAGAGCTGCAAATAAGTTAGACATGTTACTTATGTATATTGAAGAACGACACTCACGTATCATATTTTTCAGACAGGCGCCCGATTGCCGACTGGTAAGCAGTGCGCTCAGCGTCAATATCCCTCCACATTGCATCAGAACGACTTTTTGCAAGCCGCCGATGCTCTGTCGTCCATGTTGCTTTTTTCTTGACAGTGATGACCATTTGTGTTTAGAATTCTGAGAGCCGATAAAATTGAAGGAGGAAGAAATAGCAAAGTGAAGCAAAGAATAGAATAACTCAAAGTAAATTCGATCATGATGCCGCCACTAGAGCACATGTCAAAAAAATTATATACTCATGCTAAGGACAAATGCCGATATACATATATCTGATGACCCTGTCAATGCTAAAGCAAGATACAATATTATAATGATCACTTACGCTATACAAAAATCGTGTGTCAGAGACCTACGCTAGCTAGTACAGTTGAAATGTCGTCATCTGAAAGACCATGAAGAATTATTGCACGGAGTTGATGAGCTTGAGCATGAGTCAGACCGGACTCTTTGAAACAGTGGATCCACTCTGAAATACTTCGATTCAGGGTAGCATTGATCTGACATAACATGCGGGCAGAAGCATTCAATCCCCGCAGGTATTCCTGAGTTGCAGAGGAAAAATTGAACATCGTTACCGAAGGTTCATTATAGTAATCCAGGGGCCGATCGGTGTGGGGCGAGCCAGGTGGTATGGCAATCCAAGAGGTATGCTGGGGTGAGCCAGGTGGTGTAATAATCCAAGAGGCACTTGAGGATTCTGTGTGATGAGGTCAGCCAAGTGGTGCAACAGTCCATGAGGGCTCTATACGATGCAAGAGCTCACTTACCTAAAGTCTCCGAATCAGAATCTGAGTCCGAAATGTAAATAGTTCGATGTGGTGCAAACTGAATGGACACAGAGGCAGCCCTTTGAACAGAATGCTGCTGCGGTGGCGGCAGCCGTTGCTGAGTCTCCGAATCAGAATCTGAGTCTGATACGTAAACAGTTTGAGGTGGTGCAAACTGAATGGACGCAAAGGAAGCCCGTTGAGTGGACTGTTGCTGCTGCCGCTGCGCTTGCAGCTGAGCGGAACGGCCTAGAGGTAAAGTATGTGCGGATGTGCGTGGGGATGGAGGCACCTCAACTGAATAGGGTTGACCTGGTACAAGAGATATGTTCCCAACCATGAGGGAGCGCGTTAAAGGGTCCACGACATAGCCAGGACCCAGTCTGACTAAATCCAATTTGTGGCCAAAGGATAAGATATGTGTTAGCGCAATTTCTTCTGCAAAGATACTCCGCATGCGCTCAACAGTGTGTTCGAACTGTGGGAATTGATGAAGTTGATGTGTATGTATGACATTGACAACTATGTCCGAGGGGTAGAGGGGCACAGATGTATTCCACTCAGGCCAAACACCGAATCCAACGAACAATCCATCTGCGAGTCGTCCTAGACCTATAACCTCAAGGCAAAGTGAGATGGTACTGATCTATAGATAAGAAAACAACCTACAGCGTCCTTAATATCACCCATTCCTTCGTGAAAAGCCAGTTCTCTGTCGCCTTGATTCAAACAGAAGTGATTGTGAAGAAGTTGTGTTGGTATATTGTTGGTGCCATCGTTGCAAATGCCACGACAGCATGAGTAGCGCCGACAATCAATCTCACGACTCGACAGTTGAGTCTCTTGATCCTGGACCCAGTGCCGAATGGCCGGGGGTGAGTATGTAGCTCTCATGAGAGTCAGCTGTATGGCTGTAAATGAAGAGTGTGGATGAAGAGTGAGGGTGAATGAATGTTTGATGTGATAACTGTTTAGGTTGGCTCAAATGATTTGGTCAACACTCCAGTACTCAATATAGTCGATATTAACTGCCGCGTGCATCAGCACATCAACAAATCTTGAAACACACAATGTTTCTTCACATACATTCAAAAATTTAAATACATGCTTGAAAGATACAGATTGAATCTTCATAGTTACAAAGCCTCATACAAATGATAGCAACACTATTCAACGCTAAGATTCTCAAAAAACTCCCCAAGGCGAATCATTTCATCTTGGACAGCGTCATCTTCAATAAGATCCTCCATACCCTCTGCGCTATCAAGCTCTTGTGGTACCAAAACAATGTTAGTCTCGCCTCGCGAGGTACGGGTCCCTGTGAAACTTGGTAATGACTCGATATCGTCAAGTCGGAGGAGACGAACAGCATCTACCCAATGGCGTCTATGACATACTTCTTCGAGTTCTGCCGCCAGGTATGGGTCACTGCCATGTAAGTGATGAAGCTGAGCGTGCATTAATCCATGCTCATCAACAATGAAAGTGCGAAGGCGTCGAATCTCCACATTCAATCTCTCTAACTCCTCGCGAGCACGTTTGACTTTGAAGTATTTCACCATGATCTCACGATTGCCAGGGATGGTCCAGGGTTCCCTTGTGATGTCCTGCTGAGAGTAAGCGTGTTTGAGAAGTTTGAAGTTGGATATGAAAGCATAATCAAGGATATTGCCCCACTCGAGATGGGGAGCCAGGGGCGTCATGCAAGCTGCAAGGTCATTATAGTTGTCTAATGCAGAACGAACGGCCTTCCCTCGAGTTTTGATTGCTTTGCTGATTTGCTGGTGAAGCTTGTATCCTTGGATGGTGTATTAAGTTATGATTTAAAATTAAGCAAACATCAAATTACCTGTACCCGCCATATTGGCCTTGGAAAGTTCAAACAGCCGTTGCACGACTAGTTGCTGTAGCTCGTCTACTGCACGCTGAAATTTATTGGTCTTCATGTATGCAAGCATCTCCTGATATTCACGTCATTGTTCAGTCCACCTCTCCGAAATTCCCAGCTTCGCCTCCAAATCTGCGACTGTGCGAATGTTGACAAGAAGGATATCCATGCTTGCTTGGCGAGCGGTCTCCAGTTTGAGCATCTCATGAACATCTGCAGTATAGTTGATGCACTGAGAAGACATCGAGTTCCTGAAAGCTTCTGAAACACCGTGCCATTTTGCACTATAACATGATCAACTAACTGAACAGTAAAAATACCATGTACGTACTCTGCAGTTTGAAGGTCAATTAATGCCTGGACATAGGCACATGCTAGTATGCGCTCTTCCAGTTCGTCACTGAGGTTCATGAGATAATCACGTTCGGCAACGAGCCACTTCTCAAACTCATCCTCACTGATGTCAAGTGTGATCACGAAGCTCTTGACAGCACTGCCATACTCGCTGATGATGGTCAATGCTTGCCGGTAGTTGTTGAGAATGAATTTACCTAAATTCAGGGTAAGAAGTTAATAATATCAAAGACAAGGAAGCGACTTACTAAGCTCCTGGTACTTATCATCATCCCACTGCTGGAGATGCAAGTCGATGGACTGCACCCAATGAAAATGTGAAGCATAACGAACAGAGCACGAGACTGAATTTGAAGATGAGAATACCCGCTCCATAGTTTCCAGATCTTCAAGTCCGAAGCCTTGTTGGTAAAGTGGATGATGTTCTAGTTAACAGATTCAGTTGTGGGCATAGCCATGAAATGAGTTCACTATGACGTGAAGTTGAGAAGCTTCAGCCTTCGCGCTGATAAGGGGGCTATTACAAATTATTTGACCGAATGTGCAGCCGATGTCATAGCCTATCCCAATATCATCACCGTAGGTATCCAACATGTAGTTAGTGATTGCGAGTGGGTACTTCGCACTGCAGACCATTAAGTAGGTAGATTGCAGTGCATAAAGTAAGAGACTTACAGTTCACCGCTTCTCACCATCTCGCACACTTTGATGATGGATCCATGCTGGCATGCTGATGCGAAGATGCCAGTCGTTTCGTAGATATCAAGCGCTGTCTTTTGGTGTTCAGGTGAACTGCTTTTCCATTGCAGGCACGAGCTAAGGAGTCCCTCAGAATTGACAGTCTGATAATTAATCAGTGCAACAGTAAACACCAGTACATTCAAAAGTTACCTGCATTGTAGTATCCCCCAAATCATCCGCTGGCGCATGTTGACGATGCTTGACTTCATTTTTGAACACATCAACATCATGGTGTGAGAGAAAGTATGAACTATGAAACTGGCGGTTATTGGCATTTGCGACACTTGCTACTCGCTTCAGCGAATTGTTGCCATCCTGGGCCACAAGAATATTAAGAGCTAGTGAGGGATCATCTTGGAGCTGTGGCAACATGAACACAAATTGTTCAACAAAAATAAGCATACCTTGTAGGTGCAGCAAGGGCACATGTGGCTAGCTCTCCAGTTCGGGTCATCACGCCCGAGTACGTGATCTAACCTCTGCCGCATGTGGCGAAGGATTGAAAGGAAGGCATCAAAGGCGATTGAAAATTGGTCCCTGTAACATGTGTGGTAATTGACCTGTGCAAACGATGTCAACTGCCACGAAATATATGTCAGCAACACCTACATTCTGTAAATCACATAAGGCTTTCGCCATAGCTTGGATACTGAGCGGCGAATGTCGGCGACGTAGTCGATAGTAAAGCTCCAGGGCGCGGATATCAATCGCAACTGAAGGCTCAACAGGCGAGCAGCCAAGGAGTCCATTTCTGAGTAGTGATACATTGGCCGGCTCATTGGGGCGTTGATGAATGGTAGCAAGTTCACGATCTATTGATGTATTGAGCAAGATAAACAAAACATGGTATTTAGAAGAAAAACGCACCAAAGATTCGAACTGCAGTGACATGGAATTCATGATGGTTTTGTGAGTGTTTGGGTAGGACTGGATCCATGGGTCCATGTTTCCATCGTAAGTACGACTCCACGAGTTCAGGCATTTGCATATGCCAATGGGCATCCAGCCTCTCGAGTCTCTGACGACGGGACTGTGCACCCTTCCTACTGGAGCGTGAAGACATTCCTAGTGCGCTTTGAACCACATCATTAATCTCCCCACCTTCATGGGAGATGTCGGGAGGAAGGTCGTCAAAGAAAGCGAGGGGGTTTTTGAACACGGTATCAACACCAATGTCATCGTCTGGCTCTGCGCCTGCACAGCCTTGTGAGATGCTGCTCAGGGCAGAGCATGTTTCGGCAGGTAGAGCTAATAATATTTATCAATATACCGCAAGCACAGACAAAAAGACCTACACAATAACATCTCCCTATGCGTTTTTAAGCCTTCCTCAGTCTCCTTCATGATAGCCGCCACAGACTTGAAGCGTGTGCAACGACCACTTGCATCTGAGCCATCCATGCTAGTGCTGGCTTGTGGTTTAACTTGCATTATCCCACGAGGAACTTTCAGCTTGGTGCCACGAGAGTGTTTGCGCTGGGTCGCCATGATGATGGGTGCATGAAAAAGGTGAGGGGAAAGTTGAAACCTACTAGTATAAGTAAGATGCATTGCCGAAAACCATGAGGCTACCGTGTGAATGAAAGGCAATGTGGTGGTCCATGAGGTGGTTGATGCAAGGCATAGCATTACAAGAGAGTTAAGAGAGGTGGGAACCATTAAGGACACTTAGCTTGCTGTTGCAGACAGCGACGACGAAGGTTTGGATGATTGGTAATCCAGGTACGAAGCCTGCGCTTTCCTAATTAGGCCACAACACCTTCATAACGTCTTCCGAGAGCTTCGGAAGCTTCCGGATGGCAGCCGAAACTATGTCTGTATGTTTTACGGAGATGACGCCTTTATCTACGTTATCTAACAGTTATCTAACCTATATCTACCGTAATCTTACATATCTATACCTACAGGGTGCATAAGAGCAGAGGTATAGGTGGTGGTATTGGTGGTGTAGAGGTTTACTGGTGCGGTAATAACCCACAGCGTCCGAATCCGTCGTTAAGGTTTATTAGGCTCTATTGTTATGTCACCCAGGTGCAAATGGAAGTGCCAGTGCCTGAGGATGAGCAAAAACCGACAGCGATTCGTTATATCCTCGGCAAATACCGGAGAGTGTCTCGACTCGCTGGCTACAGTGTCCCTAACCAGCTGCGTCTGTGCTGTTCTCCTATAACCTAGTACGCTCCTCAAGGCCTCAACCATCAACCAAATGCATCCCGATCCGATGTAGTATTGTATTCAGTAACTGCATCTAGTAAGTATCAGCTCAAGTCCCGCTCTCCAAGCTCCGCCGCTATGTTGATCCATAATACAATGAAGGTCCCACCGAGAAGAATGACCTCGTGGAGTCTAACATATCTCCATGGGTGCTATGCATCCTTTTATCACTCTCCCAGATGCTATCAGGCACCTTTCCCTAATCGAACGAATCCTACCATCACACCTGACCTCCACCCCCGACTTAGCAACACACGTCTGCACTACCGCCTGATTTCCCCCGAGTCCCCAAGACAGCGCCAGAGCCCTCCTACATAGTTCCCGCCCCCTCCAACTCAATCACAACCACAATTTAGGACAGCCTCGCAGCCGCAACCATCCCCTCGATCAGCGCCTCCTTCCACTCCACGCCCATCTCCAGCGTCTACCACTTGCCCGCCTCATGCGTGCCCATGAACTTCACCCCGCTCGTCACCTCAGCCCTCTACGCCTCAACCCCCTGCCCCCCCTCCTTGCAATGCCCCCCTCGTCCCTCTTGTTTTTACCTATTCACACACTGAAGCAAATACTATTGAGGCACCCGTGCACCTGCCCACCGATATACTTGAGAAAGGAGAACTTGTGGCGCGCGTTAGTACTCGCCGACTGGAGGAGGAGAGAGCAGCATCAAATGAAAAAGATAGGATAGAGAGGGAGCAAAAGGAATGGAAACGGCAGGATAGATAGAGGGAGGCCGAGCAAGAAGACACCCACATGCATCATGATGCATGTGCATGGCCCAGAAAACTCTGCCCAGAAGGTCGAGATGCACATCAACATACCTCGCCGTCTTTGTCATCACCTCAGCTCCATTCTTCTCCCAAAACGACATTCATGGAGCGTTCGGGTCTATGTATGATATGCCAGGATCAGGAGGCAAATATCGCGATCGTAGATTGCGGGCGAGTATCTCTGCACGTTTTACTTATCACGCGTATGACTTTTCACTAACTCGCACATACAGACATTTGGCCATGTGCCGTACCTGCTCGGAACTAGTATTCGCATTGTCACAGAGGCTGTCGCGCATGCTCAAAGTTTGTGATGTGGATCACACTGAGGTCATGTGGAGTGAGTCATATATCCGCTCGATAGACGACATCCCGACGGATGAGTTCTCATCCGAATCAGTCCGTCAGTCATGC